GTGGGCGGGGCGCTACGTGCAGAACCGAAAGGCGGCAAGCCTTTGATGGGAGGATGATGCGCGCCCTCCGAGAGAAGAGGGTTCAAAAAACAAACAAATTTCCAAAAAAAAAAAGAAGAAATGAATATATTGAAAGAAGATAAATGATGACAACTTCAATAAGCATACTCTTGGAGAAGGGCCATGTTTGGGATGTCAGAATGTGTCGATAGTATCTCTTGGTGTGAGAGAAGCCAGACGGCATAGGCAATGGCATACTCCGGTTGATGATAAGGCAAATACACTAGAATACTAAATATCAGAAAAATTAAAAAATGAAAGCACGCAACTATATGAAAAGATACTGAAAGTAAAAGGTAACGACTGGTTATAATGAAAACGTGATCAGAAAAGAATAGTGCTAGAAAACCTTGTTCTTTAGGTGAACACTGGATAAAGTAGTAGAAACTGATGCTAAATCATTAATCTGGATAATAGCAAAACCAATTATTATGGATGAGAGACTTACTAGAGACAAACGATGATGATTGTATTAGGTTTCTTCTTCGTGAGATAGCTGCGAGAAGTAAACTACGACACTGTTCACGGTACCTGATAGCATTTGATTTCGGTTGTATTCTTTAGGAAACGTGATGAAAACATACAATTTAATAGCATTTTCCTCTTCCATATTTGTAGGTTCTAGAACAGCGACTATCGAGAAGAAGGAAAGATATTCTATGGTTAATCTAGAAATCACTTCAGTTAACTACAAAAAAAAATGTTTGAAAATTTTTGCTTTTCAAAACTAACCTATTCCTCGAGATACCTTTATTGAGGCGTCGGACGAAGTAGCCGCGGACACAATCTGCTTCATCCTACAGAAAAAAACCAATGCTCGGATGCGGGAAATTATGAACAATTTTACCTTCATCAAATTAGATAGGGTTACAAACATATCCGCACCCATCATGTGAGAATACTTTTGGATGTAACAAAGTTTCAGCAGTGATGTACCAGCAACTGCTCTTAGCCATGCCTTCTCGATAGAACTAAAAGAAATAAAACGATAACCCAACCAGATGATTTAACTAATTTCTTGTTTATGGATGAGCAGAACAGGAATACCACAATACAAATTCCTGCTTTTTAGCAAAGAGCACCCTTCCTAGAAAGAACTCCACTCCAAATTAACGATTAAAATTCTAAAGCAGTTCTGTCAGGCAACCAATGTCAACCACTATCACTTCCTGATATATTCGATCACTTCCGAATGAAGGCGAACTAAGGAACAAAGACTGCTTTTTCTTCTATTTTATTTTCCTCAGAAAAACAGAGAAGGTTTTT